GCTGCCAACCCTAGCCTGCTGCTAATTACATGTGCTCACAGCACTTACAGAGCATTCATGATACCTGGCCTGACTTCCAGAGGCATGGCACAGCTGCCTACTCCCACTCAATCCATGAAAAATTGAAGTCAAACCAGTCAGGCTCTGACATCCAGGTTTGGTTTCTATCATCAGCAAAACAAGAGTACATCACTCTCAGAAGAAATGAACCCTTGGAGCAAACCTAAGTTGCTGGAAACATGCAGCTTCTCCAAGCAAATAACCCTGGCAACAAAGCTGATCCCTGGATGCTGCCACAGGCTAATCCTGCTGTTGTAGCAATTCCTCCATTCTACTGACTCAAGAGTGGGAACAAGCACAACAGGTCCCCACCTGCCACAGGACACTAAGATCACCTTTGTCAAATGTTAGTGACACATGCTTCACACACTGCAATAGGCTGCCTTCCATGCTGTCACCTAAACATTTACTATGACTCAGAATTTAGGGAGTTTTAACCATTTGTTTTTAATAGTCAGCAGCTGATCATCAACCATGCAAGTTATTGAAACATTTTCTGTCAAGAGCAAGGAGGGATGCCAATGACATAACATTTTAAATGGAATAAATTAATTTTCACCTCGAATTTGTGACTTCCTGGTTCTTGCTGCTTTACAATTCACTTGCCTTGAGGGTGAGAAAATAAGCACCATGGCTTCCTGCAACCAGAGTGGCATAGGCTTTTAAAACTAATCAGTGACAGACGGTGAGGCTACAACATTTCCAGCCACAGCATTATCTTACAAGAGGGAAGTATTTGCGCAATTACTTTGTTTTAACTGCAAGGTCATGTTTGCAGAACCAGATAAACACCAATATCAAACACATACTGAAGTCTTGGAGTATAAATCAGACAGAAGGTAATCATTTAATAATTCTGAAAAACACCTCACACAGCAGCTGCCACTGCACTGAAAGATCCCATTCCCCTGAAGTTACGGGTTGTAACTTCACACATTACTACAGGAAGCAGAGTGGAATTGTGAGGACACACAATATCCTGCACTGCGCAGGCTCAAAGCTCTGTCCAAAGAAACTTCAAGCATTCAGCATGTGTCTCAAACCTAAGAGTGCAAAGCCAATAGCACAGCCACATTCTCCATATAGAATAATAACTTTATTTTCAATCACCAGGCCTATCAAGGAAACACTGAATTAACTGCAGGTCCAACAACCTGAACAGGTTTATTCCTCATGCGAAATACCACCTGTAGTAATGGTTGTACACAAACCATCGAGCATTAGTTTACACAATCAATTTGCCACCTAGCAAGAGCATAGCTGGCAGTTGCAATGTCTGTACAGCATGACTTCCTATTGACTCAAGTACAGACACACAGCTGGGCACATGCAGGACAGCCCTGGATTATCCTTGTCCCTGTAGGGATAGTGAAGAAAATACTGAACACCACAAGAATTCACTCTAGCAACATAAGTCTATGACCTGCTGGGATTTTATTAGTCCTGTCCCATTTCCATTGGCTCCAGATTACCACTGCATTTTTAAGAGTACACATGCATTTGGAGGGGGTTTATCCTATGGCCTGAGATGCAAAAGCAGATGTCCTGACCATTAGGACATCTGCTCGTGAAGAGGAGTGACGAAAACATACAAACTAGGTTTATAAACAGGGAGTTGGAAATCTGATCCCCTGCTTCTGCTCACAGCTCTGCCATGGACTCCTTCTGGCCTTCACTAATTACTCAATCTTTCACCTGCTAAGCACAATGAACACTGACAACTTCATCAGGAGAAGGACACAGTGGACCAGATGATATTCTTTGAGCTGAAGCACACGGATGTATGGAGGACACCTGATACAGAACCTGAGTCAGATTCCCGTCCTCACAGCTCTGACACTGTCTCCCACAAGACCAGCTGTTACCCTGCCTGTAGCTCCATGCACATGTGGTCTCCTTTCCTATCAAACAATAACAAAGCATGCAACAAATTAATAGCACAACATACACTCCAACACACACACACACATTCACCTTCTCTCAAGGCAGTTAAAAAAATCTACCGAAAGTACTGAAATAAGTACTTATTATTACACACTCTGCTTTCAGTCAGGCATTTCCCCAGAAAGGGAAAAAACTGAATTATTTCTTTCCTGCCTTTCTTATTCACAAAGTAAATTTTTACAGAAAACACAGGTAGCTTATTTACTCTTGCGGAAAACGAATGTGTTTACTTGACAAAAACAAACACTAGGAATGCAATTCAGAACCACCAACCACTACCAAAAATCAAAATTCAGCCCTTATGCTTAAAAAGCATCAGAGCATCAAAAATGTCTTTCTCTAGGCATAAGAAACACTGGAAGGGTTCATGCCAAGGATTCAGGACCGGGCACAGAAGCCATAAGTTCTGCCACTAACTTGATCTGAGACATCTGATAAACAACTTCACCCCTTCTGTCTCACCTTACACTTTAGTAAGCCAGTAATGATAAAATTTCCTGCCTCACTACATGGGTGGAGAACACTTTACTAATTCATGACTACAAAGCAACTTGAGAACTGTGGATATAAAGCTTATACATATACACACATACGTAAATTAAAATAGGCACGTATTATATTTATAAATTAAAACCAAGTTAGGAAAGAGCTAAAACACATTACCCAAAAGCTCCAGTCAGCACTCCAGCTATACTGAGCAGGACCCTGCATTTTCTCTGTGCATGAATTAAGAGTCTCCTCTGAATCAGCAAGTAGCTGGTTAATAAGACCATGATCCACTTCATGAACTTCCTGTGAACAAAGAAGTAAGGTATGTAATCCAGCAGTGATGGAGAAAGGTGAAACAAAATGGTTAGTCCATTTAACAGCTGTATATTAAATGAAACCTGACATGGAAGTTTCACCAAGGTGAGTGGCATGGAAACACTTCCCACTGACAGCTTTTTAATTGGTTTTATTTTTTCCCCCCTAGACTACACTATACTTAATTATATTTTACATTTTTATCAAAGTATTTTATTTCCAGTGCAACCCCTCCCAACTTGCACATTGAAGCTGCACAGGTATTTAGAACTGAAATAGTATCAACACGAGATGTCAGTGCCTAACATGCAGCAAGGTCTCAGGAACCTGTGAGACCTTTCAGAACTTGAGAAACGCCATACACATGTAGCATTTTTACCAGAGGACTGGCAAATATTATTATAATACTGATACATCAAGTGTTTATACTTACTGTTAGTTACACTATAAATTGTACATAAATACAAACACTTCCGAGACAATTTGACTCATATCACTTACTATTATGATAATAAGCAGCACTGTTTTCTAATTCTGTAGCACTTCCCCTTGTTATCAGTATTCTTCACTTTGGAAGTCAGTTTTACTTTATGAAGGGAAACAGCCACAGAACGTCACTTGTGCCACCCCAGCCAGCAAAGGGTAGAAAACCAGCCCAGGGCCCTAACCAATAACCCCGTCTGTAGCACCGGATCCGCCGGGACGAGGCAACGCTGGGCTTCAACTCCGAACCAGCTGCTGGGCCGCCCCCGGCCGGCCCGGGGTGCGCACCCCCGCCCGGCGCTGCCCCGGGGCCGCGGCCCGGGTTGGGGACAGGCTGCGGAGGGGACAGCGGGGCGAGGAAAAGGCACAGACGCTCCGGGCTCCGTGGTGTGAGAGCAGAGCTGCCCCGGGGGGCTTTTCCACGCGAACACCGCACTCGCTGCAACCTCCACCAGTTGCTGCGCGCCCGCGCCCTCCCCACCGAAGCGCCGGGACTCAGCGGCTGCCCGGCAACCCCGGCCCGCCTCCCGCTGGCTCTCCCGGGAGCTCAGACCCTCCCTGCGGAGCGCTCGCCGCCCCCCTCATCGGGGCGCCCCGAGGGCCACCCTGCCCCCGACCCCGCCTCGCCCCACAAACTTTCGGGGAGGTGGGTGGGGACGGCGGGGCCGCGCCGCCACCGCCCGTCCGGGGCCCGCCCGTGCGGCTGCCCGGGAAGGGAGCGGGGCCGCCGCCCCCCGCACCTACCTGCGCGGCCGCCGCCGGCCCTGGGGGCGGCCGGGGGCGCGGAGCCCGGCGGAGGGGCGGGCGGGCAGCGGGGAGCGCGGCGCTTACCATGGAGGGGGGCGAGGGCCGCGCGGCGCCCGCCAGCTGCCTGCGCGGGGCGCTCGGCGGGGCCGCGGCCGCCATTTAAAGGGGCCGGCGCCGGCCGCGCCGCCGGCCCGCGGCGGGAGGAGGTTGCCAGGGGCGAGCGGCGCCGCTGCTCCCGAGCAGGGGGAGCCGTCATGGGGGCGGAGAGCGCTGCGGCACCTCCGGTGCCCTCCTGGTCGGGCCGCGGCAGCCCCTCTGCGGCTTCCGCAAGGGTTAACTGAGAAGCCTTCGCGCCGGTGGAAAGTTTGAGGGCTGTAGTAGGGAAAAACTCCCGGCTGCGGGGGAGGCGGCGTTCGCTGCCTCCTTCCCGAGGCAGAGCCCCGCGCCCGCCGCCCTCCGTGAGCGCAGCCGGTTAAACAGCGCAGGGCAGCGAAACGGCTCCCGGATCATGGGTTCGTGGCGTTCCACGGAAAACACTGCCGAGAGGCGCTCCCGGGGACTCCTGGGGGAGAGGGTGAAAGCAGGGTGAAGGCTGGCTGCGGGCCGAGCGGAGGATGAGGTGACATAAAGGGAGTCGGTGAGGGAGGTTTCATCCCAGAAAAACCTGGGTTTGATTTTTGACGCTACAGAGTGCTTTCTGCCCCAAGCTCTGAGCACCCGGAGGGCTCCTCAAATCAGGGGACCCAACCAAGGCACCAAGGCGACGATGGCTCGCAGATTTGCACTGTCAGCTCACCTCACAGGAAAAAGAAGAGCCCTGTGAGGTGCAAAGAAATCACGTTGCTAGGTAGTTGACTGGTAGATGATGAAGATGGATGGATGGATGGATGGATGGATGGATGGATGGATGGATGGATGGATGGATGGATGGATGGATGGATGGATGGATGGATGGATGGATGGATGGATGGATGGATGGATGGATGGATATGCAGATGAATAAAGCAGCCTGTTGTCCCCTTTCTCTCTGCCCCTTCCTTGGGAAATGTGTGGAGGCTCCCTTTGGACATCTCAGGGTCCTGTGATGCCTGTTCACTGTTACATTAGAAAAAGTGCCCGAAGTCCCCGTGGGTGACACGCCCTCCCAGTTGTTGGCCCAGACAGGACAGCGTTAATGCAAGCAACTGCAAGTCTCCAAAAGTTACAAGAGTGTAAAAAAAAGAATGTGTGGTTTGTTTCATTTTTGTTCCTTGCTTTCTTGATTTGCACTTGAAACTTGAATTTTGGGGGCTTTTTTCAACAACACTCAGTTTATTTTTCTTTTTGTCCAAAAACTGAATCACAATGGGTTATCCAAGTGGGAGAAGCTTCATGTTCAACCACTGACTGCCAGCAACACTTACCAACCTCCTTTGTATTCCCTCAGTTAACAGCTGGCTGACCTGGCACTTTGGCTCAGGCATGACCTACTTAATGGAGGATTCACGAGACAATTCCTAGTTCTGGATGACATGAACATGAACAGCATTTGCAGAAACAATGGTGGTATGTCCATCACAACACACTTGAAGGGTTTTTTTGAAGCACACCAAGTACTTGGGTCTAAATAAGACAGTGTTGGATTGCCTTTGGTTCAGATCCATCTTTGCACGCTGACGCCTCTGACACACAGTCACAGTCAGCACTCTAAACCAGTATTCATGCCAAAGTCCTCTTGATCTGTCAGGTACCTTTGACTCTACTGGTTATTCCCTCATCAAACTCTTCATTGTTTCTGATTCCTCTAACTTTTCCTTTCATGGATATTTTGGCTTTGCATTAACACTTTGGCAGTACGTCCTTCAGAAGACCCTGACAAACTTCCATCTTCCTTCTGAAGTGCTTTGTTGTTCTGCACTTGGTCCCACTTTTCTTCCTAATATGATTCCTGCCTGGTGATCACAGGCCTTCGTACTTTCTCAAGCCATTTCAGAGAAGTATTTGCCTTCTAGGTTCTTTTAAGCATTCTCCCACTAGCCTATCCTGCTTTCACTGCTTCCACTGTTTTGGGGTCTGCACACCAAAGCTAAAGTGACAACTGGTGACTCCAGGAATGGGCTGTTCCTCTTGACATTGTTTGGTCAGCCAACTTTTGCAAATCAATTGTGGGTTCTTTTGCTTTCAAATGCAAATAAAAGCAGAAATACTCTGCATCCCTCAGCTGCATTGTGCTCTGAGAGTTCTGAAATTGAGTCTTTACTGGATACTAAAGCATAATTCCATTACCTGGAGAGTTTTGAAGATATGCAAGATCATTAGATAAAGAGTGCCATAATCTGTAATCCTGTAGTTGAGGAAAGAGATGTCAGCCAAATAGTGACAGTAGCCCATGCTTGGTACAGGTGTAGAACGGCTGGCAAAGCTGGGTGGTACAAGTGAGGCTTGGAGCTGCTGTAGCTCCTCTCAGAGGCTTGTGCTCTGTGTGGGCCTTCTATAAACACAGATTAATTCAGAGCACACCTGCTGGTTTTGCAGATAGGCTGCCCTCTCCAGCAGTTTTCCTCTCCACCCAAACTGCACAGACAAAGTTCTACTTAAGTAGTCAACTTTTGAAGAAAAATTATTTGTTCTGCACTGAAAAAAAAAACCAACCCACTTTGGGGAATACAGTTAACCTGTAAATATCACGTACATATAGCCACAAAGATACTGAGTTCCTGAAATTTCCTTTTGTGGTGCATTAGGGTGATAATGTGGTGCATTAGAGTCTGGCTGTTCAGAAAATTAAGCCAATGCTCTTTGTGTTCTCACCATCACTTGGGAGGGGTTCAGCAGAAGAGAGATCTCCTTTGGAGACTCTGGATATTCTATACTCAGCCCAAAGTTGTGGTTTATAAAAGCCAAAAGTGAAAAACAATGAATTATCTTCCCTCTGCTCTCAGAGTGTTTTCGACATGTTCTCAGGAAGAGATCAGAACAGCCACTGGGGAAGTAATTGTTGTCACTTGCAACGTGGTGGCTCTCATCCAGGGAGCAGGCAGAGCACTGCAAGCTCAAAGCTGTGGTAACTTTAGTAAGTGTGACATTCACTAGGCAGAATGTGAGGTCCTGTTGCTATAATACACACGTATTTTTTACCCGTACTACCAGAGGGAGAGATGATGAGGCCATGTACTTCAGCGACCATGAGCCAGCACACTGGGAAACTCTATAGATCTGCTGTGTCTTCATTCATCTTCTTCTTGGTTGCTGGTGAGTACTAAACTACCTTCCTTAATTAGAAGAAATATAAGTTGTTCTTGGAAGCTTGGCTGGACAAGTTTGTTGTTTTTTTTTTTCCCCTCAAAATGTAACTTTCAACTGAGGGCTTCCTCATGGTGCAGGGAAATTGTTTGGTGTTGTGCATTGCATTAAAACATACTTTTCTCTTTAGATACATTCCTGTTTATCTAATAGAAATGTTTAGAAAGAGTGTATTTGCCTGTCTTTCCCCAGATGTGTCTCATCATTCCTAGAAACTTCATTTCTATTTTGTTTCTCTGATGCATTAGCCACCAGTTATTGTCACAAGGTAGTTATTCATATCCGTTTGTGAGAGCCAACTTCAGCCCAGGGCAAAAGTCATATAAATTAAAAGCAGCAATGTGCAGTCATTGATCACTTAATCATAGATGGCTGGGAGCTGAATGCAGCTTGTAAAGCACCTTCATGGCATCAGCATGGTATGAGTGTGATGCTGAGATCTAAAGCAAAGAAAACCATCTGAAAGACAGTAATTTCATCAGCAGAGGGTTTTTTTGCAGGTTGGAAATAGAGCCCTATTTCCAATGTTGCCCGCAATCCCTCCTCCAGCTACTGAGTGTGAGTGTAGGAGAGGAGGCTAAACTGGAAAGGTAGAATTCTGCACTGACCTCCACACACTGTTTTGGTTCCCCCATGCTCTTGGCAGCTGGCAGAAGAAGCTTGCAGGGCTGCTTGGATTTACTGCAGGCACCAAAGACTTAAGTGAGGCTCCAGGACAGGAAGAGAGTGCAGCTGTATTTTATTCTTTCTTTTTGTCACCCTAGCTCCTCTAGCCTGCCTTGCATATTTCTCACTTACAGGGTCTTACATGGCCCTATATGGGGAAGTATCAACCTGCAGATTGCATAAAGGGGAGGCTGAGGGCTTTAGCAGGTGCCCTATAAGTACTGCCAAATGCAGAGCACATTGCCACATTGCAGGGAGTCCCTGAGAGCTTTCTCCCCTCGTTGCTGAAAACTGGACGTGAACTAAGGACTTCATATGACAATGACCTATTAGATCATCTAATAGTTTGTCCAGGTCTAGACAAGATCATCCATGCTGTATTTCTTGTACCTGTCTAGCTCAAGTGCTTTCAGCACAAAGCCTTGCATTCCTCTCCATGGGCTTGAGCCCCACAACCCACATGACAAGGGGCATGTCACTGCTAATGAAGCAATTGACTTTAAAAGAGCTTTGAAGCAGAGTCAGCAAAGCATTTGTCATGGTATGCTCCCAGATGCCAAAACGATAAGGGCATTGTGTAATTGAATATCACTGAACTAATATGTTCCAGTTTTGCAGCCTTAAAAAAGAAAAAGAAAGAAAAGAAAGAGAGAAAAATAGGGGCAATGCTGTGACCTTCTCAGTGAAACCCCCAAAGGGAGCTGGGACGAAACAAGACAGCCTATTCCTCTCCTGTTTTAATTTTCCTAAGTTAAATAATTTGTATTAAATAAAAGATGTGGAAATAAAACAGATGACGAGGCCAGTTATTTTCATGATAGGAGATGCATATAAAACTCACAATGAACAGAGGCAACATCAAAGCACATTGTTCCTACTCAGTTACATTCTCTATTGCCACTAAGTGTCTGTGTAAAAAGTATACCTTTTGCATCACTGAAAGAAGTAAAAATTACAGTTCTGTTACAGGGGTTCATATGGCAAGACTGGAATACTTGTAGCAAAGAAGAAATTTTGTGGCCATTCCTTGAAAACAAGGTAGCAGTAGCAACATTAGCTAAAGCAGCAGTTATCCAGAGGAGAAAATTATTAATAAACTAAGATTTTAAAAGAGTACTCATTATGAAACTGCTCAAATTCACTCTAATAAAAAACCAAACAGATCACTTCAGAGTATTTTATGCACAAAAACTGTAATATGTCGAGCTTTGCCAGTTGTTTCAATTATACTGTATATTTCTGCAAAGTATCTTGTCAAGATACTTCAATTTTTATGACTGCTGCCTTAATACACATATCTAATTGGACAGGGAAGATCTGGACTTCAGATTTCCCCAAGAAGCTCCAGTGGGCTTATTGGTGAGATAACATAAGAACAGAAGGATAATATCTTACCCTGTACCTTTAATAAGAACTACTAATTTTAGGGGACCAGATTCAAAACTATGTTTGGGTACCTAATTCTCAGGCATCCAATTCCCATGGGTTGGTATTCCAGCTCTAAGGCAAAAATTTTCACTTTGAGGTAAAAGCACAGAGTGCCAAACAGCTCACAAGGTGTTTCACGTGCTCTGTTGTTGCCTAGTTTCACAGCCAGTTTCAGTTTATAGCTCCTGTATTTTTGCATCCGTGAGTTCTCTCTTGTTTCATAGTTAAACTGTAAGCTCTATACCCCAGCCTTTTGTAAGGTGCCCAGAGCAACGGGGCCATGCTTGCTGACAGAAATCTCCTACTCCCATATGAGTCATAAATAATAACAACTATGAATACAACTGTAATTTTTGTGTACAAGCATGCCTGGAGGAGCCATTCAAGTAACTCTCAAACTGATCATAAAGGGGTTTGGTTTTCTATTGCCTCGAGACATTTGTCCCTGAGCAGAGAGTGTCTATTGTCATTGTGATGCTTTACCAGACCCACACAATAGCGTTTCACACTCTGTGGATGCCAATGAAAGACTCAAGACAAAAGGAAAATCAGGACCTTCACTCAGGAAGTGTCTGCAGTCCTGGAGAGGACACCAACTAGCTCGAAGGGAGACTATTTCACTTGAAGAAAATAAAACAACAGAAGAGCCTTTTCCAAAAATTGTTCCGAACTCTTTCATGACAAAAGAAAGAGTTTATGTTTGCTTTTCCCTCTTTTTGAGATACCAAATATTCCTCTCATTTTCTGTGCCCAGGCTTGTTTCCAGAAGTGAGATCCACTCTCACTACTCTTAGCTCAAGGATATGATACTATGATTAGCACCTGAGTATGAGAAGGCAGGTTGAAATGTCTGCTACAGACACGTTCATGTTTTTCTAACTAAGGTTAGCTGGAGACAGTCCCTTCACAAAGAATAGCTGCCACCTTCAGCTTCAGTACAGGCATAAGGCTGATGTTCTGTCCCCCAGACTGCTGATGGGTTCTGCTAGGGGTTCAGTCTCTGGGAATAGAGATTCTTCCCATGATTTCAAGATTTTCTGTCCTGTAATTGAAAGTGCACGCCAAAAATGCTAAGAATCACATTAGGTTTTGGGATGTGGGCAGTTGCATTAGACGCACACTTATTCACTGTCCTTGCCAAAATAGAACTGTCAGTGTATAACTCTACATGCATTTTTTGCTTTGCCTCAAAAGCAGTTGAGGCAGGAACCTTAGGCCCTGAGATTTTTTGGGGTGGGAAGAAAGAGGTTAGTGTTGCAGATGGAAATGGGGCTGACTGGACTCTAAATTTCACCCAAAGCCATTAGATAATGGCATTAATCTTCCTTCCTCTAGTATGGCAGTAGAAAGGAGCTGATATTCAGGAAAAGACCTGTCTGTACACAAGAACATAATCTAAGCAGAAACTAGGAAGAAAATCCCTGTCATCATAACTGTGATTACCCTCACACGCTAATTCCAGGAGCCATTCTTTCTGTTGGTTAGAGGTCAGGAGCAGCAGGGACATTTATCATCCTATCACCCTCAGCTGTCCTCTTCTCTCTCTTCCCTGGTACAGATGTAGGAGTTACTGGTGGAAGTGCAAACAAGGAGAATGCGGCAGCTGTGATTCATGTAACAGCACAGCCTTTGTTGTTGACACCTGAGCCTTGGAACTTTTTGGTGACTCAAACACCAGCCAAGGAGAAAGCTAAAGAGGGTGAAACTGTGGTCCTGACCTGTCATCTTAACAGTCCACAGCATCCCTCCCTGACTGACCTGATGGTGAAGTGGTACAAAGAAGATGAAAATGGGCAGATGGACCTGCTAGAAAAGAATGTGACCATCCTGCCAAATAACTCCAGGATCTTCACGAGTGGAGACTTGTCCCAAGGGGATGTTTCCCTGATTATCCTCAATGTGACAACCAGTGACCATGGAATTTATTTCTGTGAGGTTACACTTCCAGACGGGAACGTGGTGACAGGAGATGGCACAAAGCTCAGGATCAGGAGGGCTCTGGGTAATACTTGCAGTTATTTAATTTTTTTCTCCTTGTTTTTCCTCCAAAGCTGGTCTGCACACTTGCAAAAAGAGAGAAGTTGGCCTGTTTGGCCTCTGGCATTAAGGGCCTCGTGTCATGGAGTGTAATTGCTCTATAACATTTCCCATTATTTTTGTCAGGCCAGCTAAAATGCATTAGCTTGTCTCTATATACAATCACGGGTATTATATTACACTACAAAAAGAAGGAATAATGTTATCCATAAAAATTAAGCCACTGCAAAGAATGAATCAGTCAGACAAGCTCCCCTTGTACTCATAGCTCTGGCAGAAGCCTCATGAGTGACAGGTGACAAGGTGCCATCTCAAGGAACAGCTCTAGACCTCTTTTTTGGAAGGTTAGTTCTCTCCAACCCACTAACTTGCATAGTCATTCCTTAACTCTGAATGACATAATCCCACGATAATCACGAGGATCATATATCATATGATCGTTACATAATTTCTGATTAACTTCATTCACATTAAAGTAGCATTAGAAGTGCCATAGTATGTTTTCTTAGCCTCACAGATAGACACTAGGCATACTAAGTAAAGAGGTAACTTGCTATGTCTGTAGCAGCTGGGAATGTCAAACTTTCCTTTTATGTAGGCTAAACAGATTCCAGTCCCAAAAAGTCAACACATTAGAAGGGTTATTATCTTATTATCTAATTAACAAAAAATACCTCCTCCTGTTTCAAGAGTAAATTATGCAAGTGCCATTTTCCTCTTTTTCATCACCAAAGCTTCCATCTCACCAAGATTCACTAAGCCTTTGGCCTTTTGAGCCTGAGTTATTAATTTTTATAATACTACTCAGTTTAAACTGTAACACTAAAGCAAGCAACCTGTGCCCCTCTGCCAGGGCTTGGTCGTGTGTCTAATGAGGTCTCCTGTTGGCTTGATCTCATAGTCTCGGTAGCACAGGTTACTCTTGAAATGTCCAGCATAGTTGCCTTTCTGTGTTCCTGAGATGATGAAATGTATAATTTCAGCACCATGCCATCTCTGTCATACAACAGTCCCAAAAGCAGCCAGTCAAAAAAAAGACTCCAGTGGATCTCTCTCTGCTCTCTGCTGCTATCTCCCTTGGATGTAGATAGGCAGATCAATGGCTTTCTCAAAGTTGTCAAAGTAATTTTTTTTTCCTTTCAAAAATAAAGTATACAGGCATGAGTCCCATTAATTTAAGCAGCAACTTCTTTTGCCACCTTATAGTTGAGGGATAGCTATTGAGGGAGATTTCTGTGGCGATGGGGCTGCCCTGTCTCTGAAGCACCAGACAGCATAGCAGCTTAGGAATGCTGCTTAGGAGTTCCTGCACCAGAATGAAAAGAATACTAGTTCTGTAGTGCAAGTCACTCTCCTGTGTAGAAGGGATTTCATGTCAGACAAGACATCAGCATGATCATAGTAAGCAGCTTCCTCTGCAGCCACTGCAGAAAAGATGCTGGCTGCATTGCGTATACTTGTGTGGAAAACATCTTACATCTCTGCCTTCCTTTCTCCCCCAGGCTTGTTTGGTATGGAAGAATCCATTGGAACAATCATTGGTGTTGTGGCAGCTGGTATTGGTGGCATAGTTGTTCTGATCGTTGTTTTAACCCCCCAGCTGAGGAAGTGCATTCTCTGCATGAGACAAGAGTCTCACCAAAGGTACCTGTGTTTTAACTGAAAGACAAATTAGACATTTACTTACCTCTGCTCAGACATGGGGCCTGGTTCAGAAAACAAACAGTGTGAAGCAAACTCTAGCAGAGCAGGTTCTGTGTTCCATCACTTTTTCAAATAGTTTTTTGTTTATGTTGGGTAGAGCTTTACCAATGGGCCTAATGAGTTACCTATAAAGAGAATAATAGGATCTTCTTTAATTGCCATTTTGGACTATGATTTTTTCAATGAGATGCTGCGACTTCTTTTTACAAAGACCAAGGACTCATTCAGTCCTTTTATGTTTATGCTGAAGGATGGCTCTTCCTCCTGCCAGCTTTGTGCTTACGTCTGTATTCTTGCAATGCTTGTGTACAGAAAGCCTATGATGGCTTAGGTGTGTGAGGTGTGGTTTCTAAAGCCCTACTTAAAGATCTATCTTCTATTAAATCAGCTGATAACGTTGGGAAAACCAGACATTTTCACCACACATGAGCCAAAGAAATGCCCCAATAAGAGGCTGATGTACCCAAAAGCTCGCCTGCATTTTTTCTGTTCTGTCAACTGGTCTAATTTGAGGAGACTGACACTGCATTTTGAAACAAATTTAGTTCCCATTTTGAGCAACCCAAGATGTGGTATGCGTTTCAGAGCGAGCTCAGTTGACTTTTTGCATTCATTGAGGAGACATGTGATATGCACCTCTTCTTCTGGTGCTCAAAAAAAGTCTTGCTCAGCCTGATGAAAAATTCCCCTCCCTGAAGGGCTGAAGGAAGAGCTGCTCTTGCAGTTCACTGGAGCGCTGCCGCCACCTGATGGACAGCGTGGCAGGGACAGGGACACGCCGGGAGCTCTGCCTCTCTCTCCGGGGAGGATCTTACAGCCCTCGCTGGGAAGCGCACTCCCTTCCATAGGCTGATGCTGCCCACACAGCATCATCCCTCTGCAAACGCTCTACATTAAGAATTCACAACTCCTTCTTTTGCCAGAAAGCCTCGGAGGAGTTTATTGTGTTGTCCTGACTCTGTTGCTCACTCATTCTCTCATTTCCTTCTTGCTCAGCATAGCTTGAGGTGCAGCATTACAGGAGTCGCTGGGATATGCAAAGCCTGCAAGGTGGAACAACTTCTGATGCCCTGTAAGCCAAAAAAACGGAGTTCTAGATGGAATAAAAGCCTTTGCCTCTACATGTTGACTTTGGCATTTTTGTTTTTGTTAGCAAGCTTCCTTTTCCTCCAGCTTTGTCAACCACACAGTGGCATATTTACCATCCTCCTCCAGAAAGAAGCAAAGCAGCTTTTTATGAAGAAACTTGTATTATTACCTGTCAAAACTCCACTTAGTTTGGCCACATATCTCTGAATTTAGATTCTGATGAGGCACCCTCGGTCTCTCTGTGCCATTAGTTCTTATTTTAAAGGTGCAGTTCACAGTTTGTCAACTGGGCTTCAGCAGAGACAGAAGGAGCACAGACCACTCAGGTGCTCCAGGTGCCCATGTAGTGCTAGCACCTACCCGAGGAAATCAAAAGCATTGCTTCTGGGGATGCAGGAGTGGCTCCTACCTGTCTGTCCCTCCTGCCAAAGAGGCTCTTGTCCTGTTGGCTTGTCCTGCCTAAACGCTTGCAACAAAGATGCAAAGAGGAACCACTCCGGGCTGAAAGAATGAGATTTTGCTTTCTCTTGCCAGAAGGAAATGTAGTGTTTGAATATAAGCCTCTAATACTCTCAAAAAAAAAAAAAAAAAAAAAAAAAAAAAAAAAAAAAAAGAGAGAGAGAGATGAAAGATTTGCTTGACATGACTGATGTTCTCCACGGCCACTGTTTCCTGATGTGACAACGATTGATTCCCAGGCAGCCAGTGACTGACTGGGTGACATGCCAATATAGGAGACCATCTTCTACATGTATCAGAGAGCAGTGTATCAGCTCTGAACTCTGTGGAGCAGCGAGTATATTGTTTCACAAAGTGTGAGCATGCCTGCTAGTAAGCAGAAGTCAGAAATCCTTGATGACCTTGCAACTGCAATAGCCCAGTGTAACTGTGCTTACCCCTGAACACAGCTCAGAAGTGTCTCCAGTGCTGTGACGCAGGAGCATGAGGGAAAAGACAACTGGGCTCTAAGCAACCTGGTCTGGTAAAAGGTGTCCTTGCTCATTGCACAGGGAATGGAACTAAATGATCTTGAAAGGCTCCTTCTAACCCAAATTACCCTATGATTCTATGATTTAAAAAAAAAAAAAAAAACAGCAATATTTGGCAGCAGGAGATATGTTCCCACTGCACCACAGACCAAACCCTCTGTTTCTGCAAAAGAGATCTTGATCATGATCAGAGCAGGATCTTCCCTTTGCTTCAGCATGTATGTTACCTGTCACAGAATCACAGGCTGGGTAAGGTTGGAAGGGGCACAGTGGATCATCTGGTCCAACCTCCCTGCTCAAGCAGGATCATTCCAGAGCACATGGCACAGGATTGTGTCCAGACAGGTCTGGAATATCCCCAGTGAGGGAGACTCCACAACCTCTCTGAGCAACCTACTCCAGTACTTAGTCACCTACACAGTAAAAAAGTTCTTCCTCCTGTTCAGGTGGAGCTCCTTGTTCACCAGTTTCTACTCAATGCCTTCTTGTTCCATTGCTTGGCACCACCGAGCAGAGACTGACACCCTCCCTTCAGTTATTCATAGACACTGATGAAGTCTCTTCTCTGTCATCTCTTCTCAAGGCTGAACAGACCCAGCTCCCTCAGCCTTTCCTCATAAGAGAGATACTCCAGACTCTTAATCATTTTTGTCACCTGTTGTTTCTCCAGCGGGTGTCAGGGTAGTTAAAATCCCCCACCAGAACCAGGGCCTGGTGACTGTGAGGCTGCTTCAAGCTGCCTGGAGAAGACCTCATGCATTTTCTCCTGCTCAGATGGGCTGTAGCAAACACCCACAACAGTGTTACCCCTATTAGTCTGCTCTTTTTTCCTAACCTATGAGATTTTGACTTGCTTGTTGTCCACCCAAAGGCAGAGCTCCATACATTCCAAGTGCTCTCTCACAGAAAGGGAAACTCCACCACCACACCTTTCTGGTCTGTCGCTCTCCCCCGTAAATCCTGGCCTGATAGAAATTCTTTCACACCATTATTAGATCTGGAAAACAAGGAAAAATTTTATTCCGCTGCCTTCAGGTTCAAACTATTAGAAGAAAGGTCCTAAAAAGACTATTCTGGCCCCCCATATCTGACATGGCAGGTAGGATGAGTCTGTCCACATAAAAAGTCTGGCCAGAGGATGAAGTGAGGATTGTATGGGGCTGCTCCCCAGCACTTGGCTGCTTCTTGGTCACACAGGCACACCATTTTTTCACATCGGTCTGTCAGGTTATCTGCAAAAGAAAATGTGATCTGAGGATGCGAGATTCTGTATCAAAGGCAAGAAGCAGTTTTAGGAGGAAAAATTCCCTAAAAAAGCTGCCCTTTAGGAATCAAAGGCTGTGGCAGCAGGACCGACATGTTGTGTTGTGAATGGATCTGACCCTCCCCTGCCCTCTCTCTGTCAACAGGTCTGACCTTAACTGTGACAAAGGTATCAGAAAGCAGCAGCTAAATGTAGATTGGCAATGCTTATAAAAATCTGCTCAGCACAGAGCACTCCCTGCCTCTAGAACTGTGTGAACTACAAGGGTTTAATTCAGCAGTTGAAGCTAAAAAGGAAAATTATTTTATCTTGGCCTGAGGTAAAAATACTCTAGCATTCCTCAGCTGGTGAATTTCCCTTCTAACTCCTCCCTCTGCAAAACAGACTGATTTCAAAAGAATAAACCACTACTTTGAAAGAAGGAGCCTCCCAGAGGAATATTCAGAAACCTGAGGGCATCACAGCACCCACCAAGCATTTTCACTCTTGCTGCATCAGTTGCTGCTGTCTCTCTCTGATCACAGCAGAGGAGCCAAGGAGCTTTACAACGGGACCAGATAGCTAAATTTTATGAGCCAGCAGCTAACAAAATGATCCAAGTCATACATGGAACTATACAGAATGCAAATATATGGCTACATGACCATGAATAATATCAAAGCCACTAGCTTAGAAGGCTACACTGCAAATGACTGAGTTTGGGTTAATGAACCTCATCCCACTTATAGGTAGTTTAAATGCACCTGTTGGGTTGATATTATTTTAAAGCACAGTGCTTTGTTTATTTGAGGCTGCTACCATGGGTTATCTAAGAGCCACAAAACCCTGCACTAGGCAAAGTTTAATGTGCCAGTGCACATGGCCTTCATTCCAAAACCAATTGAAATGTGTATAGGAATTTTTTCAGATTTCACTGGACTTTGATGGCTCAATCCTATATCTCAAAAATAAGAAAAGCCCTGGCTTTCTAAGCTGGTATGAATAATCATATATTTACTGCTAAAATTTTTTTAAGGGTTAATGAGGACTTTGGGTCACTTTTTCCTTAGCTACCAGTCTTGCCTCAAACTCTCCTTGCCCCTCTGCTTCTTGAGCTCTTCCTATGCTGTGCCAGCAACTGTTCATCAAATGTGAGTACAAAAGTCTGGCTTCGTAACATTTCTGTTTGAGAGAAATATTTTTTTGGACCAGACCCTACAACTAACAGCCTTTTCTATATTCCAGATATCTATTGAATGGAATTTCCCTACAGGTGATGGCATATCTAGACTAAAGGGTATGGTTTTGCCAGTTTTTTTCATTCCAGGAACAAAACTACCTAATGGTAGCAAAAAGAGGAGAAATTCCAAGTAAAAGGAGTTTCTGTTTATTTTACATGAAAATGTCTGTATTTATGATGGCAGGCAGCTGGCATCTAATTCCTGTTGCGTTGAAATGACAGTGCAAACAGTTCTGCTTCTAACACTTCTGGACATTATTACACTGAGCTCAGCAAGCATGCCTGGAAATTTAATTCTTCATTTCTTTTGTTTGAATGGGATCAGACATTATACCTTCACATCCCTGTAAGACCTGTCATGTTGTAGCCTGGGGTAGGAAATTTGCCTTCAAAGAGCATTTCTATTGTTCCTCCTCACCAGGAATATCAGGGGGCGTGAAGCCTGCTGAGGGCTTGTGGAGAACAGTTGATGGATGCATCAGGTCTTGCCTAGACATCATTTAAAGAATTAATGAAATTTGTTTAACTTGTGCTTGTTGGTCAAGTCAGAGCAACTGCAGACTGCTACACTCCTGTGTCCACTCCCATTTACTCAATGATACATCTCATATCTGCAACTTGGATTGTTCCTTCACAGCAAAGAGAAACTGGACTTTTTCCTGTAAAATGACTAGCAGAAAGCTATGGAAATATGGGCAGGCAGGAGGAAGAGCAATTGTACATTAAAGTGACACATTCCTTTGCCAGCACTTTGTATTTTCTAGATTGCTCTGGAACTTAGAAAAGAGCGATTGCAGATGTGCTGTGTGCCATCCCCTATCTGCTGGCAGATCTTCAGCTGCTCATGAGGCTGAGGATTGCACCAGTAAAATATGGTTTTCTGATAAGGTAGAAATAGTATTTTAATGTTCTAGCAAATAACTTTGCTGATTATGGGGATAAGTTTTACTCTCACAACTTCTTTTCAAACTTTCAAAGTCTTCTACAATGGATTTTACTACCAGGAGCTTTCTGGAGACTTAGAAATACAAGTGACAAATTCTAAGACTCAAGTCATCTGGTGTATGTCAAAACAAACTGTGTGAGACACTGACGGGCTGTGACTGTGTAATTCAAACCTTCTTGCCTGGGTACCAGCTGTAGAGCTGAGCACAGCCCACACTTGCTGTCTGCCTGAGGCACTTGAGAGCATTTGATTCTGCATGGTTCCAAATCTCTACTGAACCTCAGGACTTCAGGCTGGAGCCCCACAGTGGACAGAGGTGCAGGGTGGCATCTTATTTAACCTGTCTTGCAGCCGTGCTGGATAGCCTGACCCTTCTCTAGCAGTGCTTAAGGGCAGTAAAAAAGGGTACAGTCCTGCTGGAGGAAGGGCCAGAATTACAATGGAAAGAGCACCCCTGAAGACCCACAGCTGTGGGAAGAGGCATGCTTAATGCCAATGAGCAGAAAGTCTCCAGAGAGTAATCTACATCCCTGCCAAACTAAGATGGCTTGTGGGCTTCATGGCTCCCACTCCTGCTCTTTAGCCTGGGGAGATCTCAGGATTCCTGGAATGTGCTGGGGCTCCAGCTTTCCTCCCAGCTCCAGGCAAGGAATGGGCAGGGAGCTTGGAAGAGAACAGACATTGCCTAAAGCCGCTTTGAAACCAGCCTGGCAAACACAAACCTGCCTCTGGGGCCCCCAAAGCTCTTTGGTCAGCCTGGTGCCTGCAGAGGAGGGAGGGAAGGAGGGAGGGAGGGAAACCCAGGCGACAGGAGCCAGCCTTTCCTTACCGCACCGCACGGTGTTCTGCTCACATGCCCACTGGTAGCGCTGCACCTTGGGGTTGCAGCCTTCCTTCTCTGCCGTGTCGTAGCAGCAGTCATGCCTGTGGCAGCACCTGGGAGACAGAAAAAGAGAGAGTTTGGGTGTCCTCCTGCATCCTGCCTGTTGGCATGGACTCCAGGGGTGCTTTGGTCACACACAGCTCATGACAGCAATGTTGACCCGGCCTCTCAGTAAATCATATGTTGATGATGCAAGTATTCTGGCATCCCTGGGAAAGCTGGCTTGTCTCAGGAGCTCATTAATGCCATATTTGCTCCCATGACCACTGTGCTTCTTCCTCTGAGCTTTTGCCCTTGTGAAAACATGTGTGGTCAAAACATGGTAATCTGGCTGAAAAGGAGCAGAAGTGCTCCTATAAGTTGTGCTACTGTGGCTCACTGGCTTAGGCTTAGACCCATCCCAAAACTTGGAATTGGGATGTTTCTTGCCTTCCTCAGTATCACCAAGAAGCTTCATCTCTTCAGTTCACTTGGACCTGCCATGTTCTCCTTGGCTCATAAAGGTTCTGAGGGGCAGGCTACAAATTAATCAGTCTCAATGGTGAAATTCATATGAGTTAACTTAAGAGTCTTAAAAATCATCTACATCTGAGGCATTCACGTATCTTCCCTCTATGCACATCTGCACCACAATTCACATTTTCATGCCTCGGAGATCTAACACAGATTGAAAAGCATCAGATTTGAAAGTGCAGTTGTGTTTCACTGACCATAGAGAGAATGAGGATGAGTAGCTCAGCTGATGACATCTGCCATTTGGATTAGTCAATGAGATCATTCTCACTGTCAATTACTTCTGAGTTTATAGAAAACTTGGCCTCACTTGAATTTTACTGTGGTAGTTTAGGGACTCAAATTCCACCATAAAAATATTCAGCACTTAGAGATGTTCTCTGCTGAATAAGAAAGGTGGTTTGAGCAAGGATGCAAGCTCAGAGGCTGGAGCCAGAGAGCAGTGATCTCTCCTGTATTTCCAGAAGACATCCCTGCAAGATCACTGTGACTCTACAGAGAAACCACTCTACTAGCTGGGAAAAATTGAGGCAGTCTGATTTGATATAAAAACCCTGAAGCTACAGCAAAGCCTAATCCATCCTCAGGGGAATGATGGGCAGCAAAGCAGGCCCATCACTAGTGTCTCATATATGGGACCCTGAGCACTGGAGGCTGTGGTGGAGGGCTGCCAGCTGCAGAAACCAAAGGTTTGTGAGGTCTGGGGAGTGAGTCAGTAGCCGAATTGGTAACGTTGGTGCCAGTGGTGGGGGAGTGTGGGGAAGAAGAACCATGTGAAGATAGATGAGCAAAGGGAGGTGTTAGGAGCCTCTGTGCCAAGGGAAAGAAATTGCTCTCTATGGAGAGCCAGAGGGAACAAAGAGAGAGATAGGAGAAGTGAGAAAGATACTGTAGGGGGCAAAAGATGTTCTGTGAATCAGGCAAGGACAAGCGAATGAGCACTGAATTTGCACAAGCAAATGGTGTTCTAGCTAGCTGTGAGAACTCCCAGCTCCTTATCTGGCTTGGCAAAACCAGGGGAAGTTGCATAAACTCTGCAGAACCACAGGATTTGGGGCACAATTCTGCTTCCCCTTACAGGAGTTCCTCCTGATGATCCCCACAGCTGCAGCAGGGTGACCGGTAGCTTGCTCCAACACAAAGCAAGAAGACTTTTGGCTCCTATTTTACAAACATCTGAAAGAACTGCCAAGGAATGAAGACGAAGGAATGTCATTGTTGTCTTTTGCCGCCTTCAGATGGTCACCTCCTGTCTGGAAATGCCTTTTGCTGCACCTGGGTGAAAGTGATGCTAAGCTTTAATGACCTGCTAACATTCAGTTACACCAACACAGAGGTAGCCAAGACCATGGCAGAGCACTGGATGGCAAAAAGCCACAACTGTGTCACCGGGCTAGTCAACAGCCTGCTCATGTCAGGGCTGGGCTAGGAGATAGCCCTAATGGCTACCGACAGCTCCGGCTGGTCCGCAGGGATCAGCTGGCCAGACCCCTGCTGTTGAGCAAATGCCGATAAAGTAAGAATTTGTCACGTTGTGTTTGTCACATTAAGAGCACCCTTACTGATGTGTGTCCTTTCCTTTTGCTTTAACCTTGCCACAGAGGGGAAATCTTACTCTTACCTACGAGTTTGCAAGGATTTAAGAGTTAGGTGCAATGATCTTGGAGATCTTTTCCAGCCTTAATTATCCTGTGACTCCTTTGAGTTATAGATGCACCCTGCCTTTCATGGTGTTTTCAGGGAAGTGCTGAGCACCCTCAGATCCTACTTTAGAACGCAGGTGCTGCAGCAATCCAGGGGAACAGAAAGGAGAAGGAGAAACAAATCGATTGACTCTACGTGGAAGAAATGTCATTATGCCTTGAAGTGATGGAACTGTGAGAGTGGAACAAAAGGGAAAAGGTAATTACTGACAACACCACATCAAAGTGTGGTAAGATAGGGACAGGCGGAGCGGAAGATTACCGGAATGTCACGGAAAGAGAGGCCCCTTCCCCCCTTCTCTCTCCCCTGCTTATCTGCTACCCCAGGAGTCAGAAAAGAATGTAGCCACACCTGTTCTGGTAAAGTTCTACTACCCACTATCCTCCGAAACCCCCAGCCCCCCTCTGACGTAGCAAAGACCCCTAAACCTATTTAAACCCATGAGATAAGATAATAAACGCTTTCGACCGTCCACCAAATTGGTGCCAGCGTGTGTCGTTAGTCCGAGTAGCCCGGGCGAAGCCGGGCTGCCGTGCTGTCTTCTTGTAACCAGGTCGCCGTTGTCTTTTATAAAGGCAACATCTGGTGCCGAAACCCGGGACAAAATTTGCCCGGTGGACGGGTTTCACCTGGACAGAAGCAGCGGCCAGGACGGTGGAACCGTACCCAGGCGTAGGGGAGACGTCCCCGGACCCGCGAGCGTCATGGACAGCGTCGCCTGGGTCGTAAGTATGAAGCAATGGAATATCGCATTTAAGCTCAGGGACTTTTATCTTGCTATAGCAAGGCTGCCTGGGCTTGGAGCAGCCGAATGCTCAGTGGATGCCATGCATCCGGGGATATGGGAACAGTATACAGCCACGCTAGCCGGGGAGGAAAAATCCTCAGACAGTAACAAGAGCTTTACGGCACGGAGCAAAGTAAAAAAGACCCCGCGCAAAGCAATAGAAAAGCAGGAGACGCGGAGTGCAGCACATATGTGTTTATTAGTCAAACCCGAGCTCGGGGGGGGGGCGAAAGCGCAGACCGTCCCTGAGGAGGGTCCACCCGGGACCGGAGACCCGAGAGAGCTCAGCGCGACAACCCCTTCCCCGGATCAGAGCGCAGCCCGGCCCCGCCGCAGAGCTGAGCCCAGCCCAGCCCGGCAGAAGCAGCGCTGCCGCCGGAGCGGCGCGTTTCAAGCGGCGCGGCCCCGACCCCGCCGGAGCGCGCTCCGAGCAGCGCAACTCCGCTCCCGCCGGAACCCAAGCCCGCCCGCGGCTCCGCGCCGCTTCCCCGCCGGCGTGCCGAGCGGAGCAGCGCCGAGCCCCGCCGCGGGGGCCCCCCGAAACGCCCCCGCCGCGAAAGACCCCCGAGAAACCCCCGCCGCAAAAAAGCCCCGAAAAGCCGCGGCTTGCCGACACGTCCCGCCGCCGCCGCCGGTCAGAAATCCGCGGTCAAAGGCGCAGCCGCGCGCGAGGCGCTCTTGGCGAGAGCCGGCGGGAGAGACCGGAGTCGCGGGGGCCGCGGCTCGGAGAAAATCCCCGGCCGCGCGGCCATGCGGCCGTTTTGAAAATGGCGCCGGGTGCCGCGGAGGGGGGCGGAGCCCGAGCGGTCCCGGCGCGAAAACTCGGACACCGCGCGATCTCAGAAATGCGCGCGCGCGAGAGAAAGGGGCGGAGAGCGGCTCGAAACACAGAGCCAATCAGCGGCCGCGCCGGGAGCCGCCACCATATAAGGCAAAAACCACCCCCCGCGGGGGGCGCGGCGAGCCGGGGGGGCGGGAACGGCCCCTCCCCCGCGGGGAGGAGCGAGCTCGGGGCCGAACAAAACGGCGCGGAGCCCCGGAAGTACGCTGGCATTTCATTTCCGGCACGGAGCCTAGCAACAGCTCTACCGGCCCCACAGAGCCGGCGGGAGCCAGCCGGAACTCCGAAACAAAAGATACGAAACCAGCACAGTTTAAAACAAAATCGAATAAAGTTCTAAGCCGCACCGAAAAGCGGTCACAATACCCCTTAAAGCTGCGGCACAAAAAAGCATCTCGCCAAAAAATACAGGTCCCAACCCCCAGACACACGAAGCGCGCGGGGGGGGGGAGAGCGCGCGCGGGCGAACCCAGCCCCCTCCCACCGCAAGCGGCGCCTGTGCCGCAGAATCAGCAGGGAATGCCCCGATACGGGACCCCGGGGTAGCCCTAGCTATGAAAGTGGGGAGAAAGCCCCCAGGGATGTAGGAAACATGCTGCCTCTGTGGCAATCAGAACCCCCATGTAGTGAGACCATGAGAGCCACTGCTGCACACCACTGCTAACAACCGAACTTGACCCTCAAAACAAAACTAATGAGAAGCTATGAGTTCTGTTTGCAGGGCACGCTTGTGAACCATCCCAGTAACACACACACCCCTGCTCCAGAAAGAGATAACAGACCACCAAACTGCCAGACAACACCTGAAAATCCCACGGTGGTAAGATCCAAACATGCACAGTGTCTTTCTTTATGCATTTTTACTGTTTAGAGGCTTGTGGCCAAAAAAACAAGCTAGCCCAAGCCACTGCCCTCTAATAAATACCCCATCCTTCGTGTTTCACATAGCCAGCCTGTTTAGAAGCTACCTTACTAACTCTAAATAAAACCAAATCAAACCTAACTAACCCCTATTAGTTTTGCTATGATATTAAACCCCCTTTTCTACGAAAGCAATGCTTTAAATACCCCCTTCAGTTACTCCACAGCCAATGTCCCCCACCAGTGCAAGTGAGACACCCCCCACAGAAGACCAATAAGTAAATAGTCCCATCCACATTTGAAATGTAAGTTTGCCAGAAACCCAAAATGAATCCTTATATATTCCTTACCAAGTTTAATAACTCTATCAACTTCTGTGTTCAAGTTCTGATTGTTTCTAAGGTCCTACATCACTCAGACGGAAAAATATACCATCTTCTCGAAAAACCTAACAGACTCCACAAAAGAGAAATCATCACAGGTATAACTATCGCGATGCTGCTCAGCTTGAGAGCAGCTAGCACCGCCACGGGCGTCTCAGCCATCTCAACCCAGCAACACGAACTCTCCCAGCTGCAAATGACCATCGACAAAGACCTGCAGAAGATCGAGAAATCCATCTCCTATCTAAAGAAATCAATCTCTTCGCTTTCAAAAGTAGTTTTACAAAATAAGCAAAAACTAGACCTTTTAAAGCCTTCAACACCTGCCTTAAAAAATCTACCCTGATCTACTAAACCACCCTTTCCTTAACAAATTACAAGTCTGTACCTCACTCCAATGTCTCTATTTACAACTACCTCATTTTGTATATGATAAAGAGGGGGGAGATGTGGTAAGATAGGGACAGGCGGAGCGGAAGATTACCGGAATGTCACGGAAAGAGAGGCCCCTTCCCCCCTTCTCTCTCCCCTGCTTATCTGCTACCCCAGGAGTCAGAAAAGAATGTAGCCACACCTGTTCTGGTAAAGTTCTACTACCCACTATCCTCCGAAACCCCCAGCCCCCCTCTGACGTAGCAAAGACCCCTAAACCTATTTAAACCCATGAGATAAGATAATAAACGCTTTCGACCGTCCACCAAATTGGTGCCAGCGTGTGTCGTTAGTCCGAGTAGCCCGGGCGAAGCCGGGCTGCCGTGCTGTCTTCTTGTAACCAGGTCGCCGTTGTCTTTTATAAAGGCAACATCAAAGTCAGTATGTGGAATAAACCTTATAAAAGGATTACCCACTCAATGGCTTTTTTTCCTTTTTCATATAAAAGAGAAGTGCTTAGAAGCACTCTAGCCCTGTCTAGACAGATTGACTGAATTACACACAAGAAAATTACTCCTTTTGTGAGGGTCTCTGTGACAAACCTAGAAGGTCAAGGGGGTGAATAATTTCAAAAAGTATTTGTCACTCACAGCCAGTAGTTTTGCCACTCTTTTATAGAATGGCAAATATGGAAAATAATGTGTTCATTTTGACAGGTGTGGGTTACTCAACCAGACTAATCATTGCAGTAGTTCTTAGTAACAGATATCAGTATTTCTCTAGCAAACAGAAAATTAAACTTTAGGGCTAAATCTAGTGTGGCATTGTTGATTCTTCCTAGCTAAGTACCTAAATAAAACTTTTAATTTTTTCTTCAGCAGCCAAGCATTGCAGCTAAGGAATAAAAATGAATGTACTTAGAGGATCAAGCTTCCCTTTTACAAATTATCTGATATTTTGAGGCATTTCCCTTGCAAAGTCTCTTTTTCTGCCTTTAGGATAAAATCCTTAAATACTCTGTGCAATTTAAACAACAGCAGAAACACTGGCTGGTAAACACACGGCCATATTTACTCTCTCTTTTTCAGGAGTGCTGACTATTTGCATCTCCCAGGATCACATAAATTTGCATGTTACTCAGCCTCTATGGAAAACAGCTTTTAAGTTACTCTGCTCAGCCTTTCAATAAAAGCAGTGCTCCAAATTAGTGAAGTCGTGTTTTACTTTCAAGGCTGTATTATGAAATTTGTTAAAGAATAACACAAATAATTAAACACCTTACATACACTGCTGTAGATAAGCACTGTGATAAGCAGGTCAAGAGATATTACTGCATTTACCCATAATTTGTGAGGCCCATATTGACTGTTTCATAGATTAAATATTTCACAAACAAATAAAAGAGCTGAGAGGGCTTTGGGAGTGAAACATCTTACTACATTAATGAAGACAGCTCCATTAGTCTTAAGGGATAGACATCTTCTCGTTCATACCCACAGAGATCTTTAACTTTGATACCTTTTCTTCCTTCCCCCCCCCCCCCCCCCCTTTTTTCTGTCATTCTAATTCAGCAAAATCTGGTTTTGTGGCAACCTGCAATGTTTCCATCCAGCAGCAAGGTATTCTGGAAAACTCAGTTTCCTTCCCAGTGAGCTGCAGACTACCTTCACCCCTGCTAAAAGCAGAGCCTGCTTACTAGTAGCGCCTGGTCTGTTGACTGTAGGTAGACTTGTGTGCTTTGACTTTGATATTTCAAATCTGGCAAGATTGCAAACACCAGGCTCAGAGCACACAAGAGTCCACTATTCTTAACTTGACTCTCATGTACTTTCTTTATGCTGATTGCACAGTACAGGAAAGAAGCCTTTGATTGCATGCAATACCTCTGACACTTGTTGGGAATAACAAACCCAACATCTTCCCCGCTAATAAAGATAAGGGGAAATAACACCATGCTCTCCCTTATTGTTCTGCCTCGGTTCAGTGTGAACTAACAGCCAATGAAGGCAACAGGTTTGATTACTCCTTGGATTTCTTCAAGAGGATAAACAATGATATTTCCATCATTTCCATTTTAAGAACCTGGGTGAAATAACCCTCCAAATATATTGGATTACACTCATTTTGTCAGGCAGGTGTGATCACTATGAAAAAACAATTCAGTTATTTCAAAAAAATGCATCCTGGTTTCCTCTTTGCGCTCTACCCCACATATTACAAGGTCCTAAGAACTTTGGTGTCATCCAGAAGAAGGTTAAGCCCTCATTCAAATCCCAAGTGATACATGGGTCATCCCTCACAAATCCCTACTGTGTTCATATATACTAAGTTCCTTACCCACAAGGCAGCAAATGAGTCACTGGAGTCACCAGTAGCACAAACAGAGAAAAGCAGGGGGATCTGCACTGCTTCTGGACACATAGCTGAGGTTTCTCTTACCAGTCTGTTTTATCTTTAGGCCAACCTCGTCCTCCCAGTCCACAGTAGCACCCATAGCCAATATATGCCAAAGGAGAGCGTCCCGTGCCACACGTTATAGCTCCAGCCAGTTCAATGATTCCTCGAGTGTGCAGTGAATGGGACTTTCCCAGAGCACCTTTCCAAACTGCAAAGACAAGACATGGTTACACACAAGGATTAAACATGCCTGCTACTGATTTTCCTACATTCCTTAAAGGGAGATGGTTTTGATTTTGACTGGTTGGTTGGGTGCAGCCCTGACAATCTAACTAGTCATGACCTTCAGCTGGCCAAAATTACTCTGCAGGGGGCTTTTCCTGAGATCTGGGATAATCAAAAGGTGGATGCAGAAGTACCCAAGCATGCTATTTCTTCCAGATGAGCTCACTTTCTTCTAGACTAGCTCAATACTAGTTCTGGTGTACTAGTGTGGGATTGCAGCTGTGTTGCACCCTGGAGCAGTGTGCCTGGTCTTGCACATCATGGAGCCTAAGCTGTTAAGGTCTGTGCCAGCACCATGCAGGGTGGCCATCTGGGCTTCACTGCACCCCAGAGCTCCCAAACCTGGGACAGTTTTCCAGCTATAGTCCTGACTGAGACATGAAGCAGCAGAGTACAGCCAGGCAACCAGACCGAAGCAGGACTCTGTGGAAAGAAATGAAGTTTCTATCTTGCTCAAGATTTCTTATGTTATCAAGTTTCTCTACTATTCAGAATCTTTAAACCCATTTTCCAGGTGGAAAAACATACTGAAAGTCCTATTAATCTGCATAGAGAGACAGCTACACACCGGTGAGCCTGTAAAGTACATACTTTGTCAAGGACAAAGTGCCTCCATTAGCCAAGATGTGTGTATAGCAGCTTTCCCTTGAGACTCTGGAAGTGCTGGCAACCCTTTATCTGCTTCTGTTGTTATGTTCCACCTAAGTCGTAACACGTGGGCCTCACTAATTTTGGAAAAAAAAAGAAAGGAGCTCTGTGTCAGCTGAAGTGTGTGGATGGCCACCCAAACCAGAGAGATTTTTGAGTTACAAGACTTTCAAACAGTTTCGAGATTTCACATATTAATTTGGAACTGTTTTAGAAGGCACAGGCTCATTCTTGCAGTAGCTGTTATGGAAACCAAGAGTACCCTGCCCCTGATACTCAAACCACTGTGATGCTCAGTTGCAAACGTCGCTGCTTATCATGCTGTAGTGACAAATAGGAGTATTTCATGCCTGGATTTACTGTGAAGGACCAAATGCACTTTGCACTGCTCTATCGGGAGGATCAAAATCCTCAGCCCGAAAGCCTAACCCATCTGCATATCCCACCTATCCACAGCTGCTCCAAAATCAAATGGGGACTTTCTGGCATGCTTGGATGGAGAGTGAGGTGACTTCTGGGAGCTGGGAGCTGGCCACTGAAGTTGCTTTGCCACTTGCCCCTGGCTATTGCAGCACGCTTGACCTCTTCAAAGTGTTGTGCAAACACGGGCTAATTAATCCCCTAAACCACCCAAGGACTCAATACTATTATTAAAACAGTTGCTTTCCTTTTAAAACCTAGCCTCTAATCCCCCTGCTTGGGCCTCTTCCCACATCTCCTGGGCTAGCTTGCCCTCCAAGCCCAATCCAAATGCCAGTGAAAACAAGGAGGGTCTCTCCCCATGAAGGACAAGGCAGGGCTTTGCTCCCTCTCCCAGCCTGAGCCCGCAGCAGGAGCAGGTGCTACCATTTTCACCCAGGGATCCACACCTCAGGCTGTCCAGCACAGCCTCAGCCTGCTTCCTGGGGAATTCCTCGGGGATTAAATGCACATTCCTGAAAAAGTAAGCACCACTCACCTAAACACTACTTGAGTGTTCAGGTTTCATGCTAAAAACACATTGGATGGATTTTATTGAGAACTAAAGAGACCACTTATTTTCCTTGTCTAAACAGCAAGGCTCCAGAGTTAGAAAGGGGCTTAGTTCTCAGGGGAAATCACAAGTAATCAGCTGCTTTGGATTTGGGGGTATAAATCATACTTTTTCAACCTGTTGCAGTTTGCAGACCCTGAAAATATTCCAGTGGAGACAAAAACTTCTTTGTAGGAATCCCTGCCTTCTGACAAATGGCTTGAATTTTTTTTTTAGCTGTCTTTCACTGGCCTCTTAAGCCAGGACTGCTGGGCTTGGTCTGTTGGCCACTGGCTGAAAATGGTTGAGGTGGGTGTAAGGTAACTGTACCTCACCCAGAAGAAGAAAGGCCATTCTTCTTCTGGGCATATCTCTGGAGATCAAGGAACTGTAATTACAGTGCAGAGCTGCTATGAAGGTGGAGAGAATGCCCCAAGGGAAATTGAGTCCAGAAGACTCAATTAGTGAGCTTAGGGCTGTGTGTTCTGCAAGAGGCATCCAGACAGCCTCTGATGTTCCTGTTCTTTGAAAGCTGCCTGGGTTGTGAGCCAGCAGTGCTCTGCTGCAGCTGAGAGGTCAGCCCCAGCAAGTACATTTTTAATATTCAGGTGCACAGCTAATAACTTGACCAAGAACTGAAATTGCTTTCTCTATGTTAGGCAGCCGAGCCAACACAGCCAGGAAAGCCTTGAAATAGTCTGAGCCTCCACAGCAGCCTGCTCCTAGTCAAATGTCCCATTAGCAACATGTCCAATCCTTAGTTAAACTACTAATGGAGCACCTTAGAGAAGAACATACCTGCAGAGAGCTGAGCAGAGGTGAATCTGACAACTTGGCACTAGTTCCTGCTTAAACTAGCAACCTTTGCTGTAAATGAAGGCAGAGTGTTTTCTTCTTTAAAAACTCTACTTCAGGTATAACCTCAGATGTGCCAGTTTAGTGTTTTGTTGCCTTTGTCTGCAGGGGCTTTCTGTTAGCACTCAGTTATGGCTTTTGTAAACAGAATTTTTAGCAATTATTTTAAATTCAGATGCATTGAAAACTGCTCACTCCATGGCCACTGGTATAAAAAGAAGGAATTTCTATGAAACACAGACAGTAACAACTCTGTTTCACAAAACTGTTAAAAAAGAAAAAGACCTGTGTTTCTACAGTATATGGAAACCATAGTTGGGGCTGGGAGGTGAGGCAGGCAGGCAGCTCACTTACACAGTCTCTCACTGTAAAGCTGAGGATTGTCTGGTGACACTTTTCCCCCTCAGTCGGCTACATCACACGGAGGTCCCGGCACGAAGCACGCGAAGCCGATGGCAAAGGGAGAGGCTGTCCCTGGGCAGGGGGAGGCATGGCAGGGCAGAGGGGCCGGGGTGGCACTCACCTGCCTGAAGCAGCGCCAGAACCAGCAGCAGGCGGGGGCCCATGGGCAGATCGCTCCCACGCCCGGGTACTTGGGGATTCAGCCGCCGGCGCTCCGGCCGCGCCTCGCCGTGCTGCCAAGAGAGCCGAGGTGTGGCTGTGCTAAACAACCCCGCCGGGCTGCTGCCCCAGGCTTTATATACACATGGCTCTGCGCCCGTCTGCAGCGGAGCAGCCTCTCCTGCGATGCCCCCGAGCCCCGGCCCGGCCCCGGGAAGGCTCCGGCTGCGTGAGGAGAGGGCGAGGGCTGGCTCCGTGTGCCCAGCATCGCTTTGGGAGGGACGGAGGGAGGGGCTGCTGCGGGGGCATTAGGCTGCTGGGCTCCGGGACAGCCCGAGACCCAGGCACTAAGCCGGGCTCCTTCTTTAAGCTGTTTGCTTACAGACCCTGGTTAACCTCTGAGAAGCTGCGGCAAAGCGAAGCCTTCAACCGGGCTTTCTGCGGCTTGGGCTCGCTGCTGTGGCATTCCCTTGGCAAGGGTTTTCTCCTTTTATAGATCACTTACCAGGGTATTTCTTCAAAAATTATTTTATTTTAAGACTGATTATTTTTGCGTTTAAAAAAGAAAAGACAAAACTATAAAAATCCAACAGAGAGGATACTGTTAAGTGCAAGTACCTAATTATAAACTGACCAAAAGAGCTAATTTGGCCCCAGTCTGAGGGATAAATACCCTCTTTGCCTGCTGCTGCACCTGACTAACACCAATGGATTTCTTGTAGACTCATCAGTATATGGGTACCAGCCATGGTAGATGACCAGCAGTTGGGTCCAGCCTGCTGGGGCTCTGGTCACTGCAGGCAGCCAAATCCAGAGGTGGCCTCTCTGTCATGCAGCCTCTGCCTGTATGGGGGTCACAGGCAATGTGGGCAGGAGGAATGGCCACAATTATTTTGTCTTTGGGCTTGAAACAGCTTTAAAACTCCTGCTTTCCTTGGTACAGCAGCCACTCGACTTGTTGGGGTCTGAGCATCTGCCCCTTCCCTGGTGTGGGCATGGTGGGCAGGGTGGAATGCTCTGCTGGAGTGGAAGAGGAGGGGAAGAGGGCTGCTTGCCCCTTCCTGGGCACAGCCCAGGACTATTATAACAGCAGCCTTGCCTGAGTTCCCCATGCTAAAGCTGTGCTTCCCTTCGGAATGGCGTGGGTTTAAATATTTGTTTGCTACACATTGGCAGTCAAATCAAAGGTCAACAGCAAGTAGTTTATAGGGCCCCTTCTGCTGATACCTGCCCCAGTGCAGCTGCTGTCACTCTTTGCCAAGCAAGTTTTCAAGATACAGTACATCCTGGGAGATGCCCTGTGATACAGGGCAGACGAGATAGCAGGACTGAGTAAAATCTCATGACAAATGACAAGCCTGAAATTTTCTGCCCACCACCACCCCAGTGATGGGCCACGTGCTGGCAGTAGGAGAGGGTGGAGGACAACTTCAGCACAACACTCACCCAGCTGCTCCCTGTCCTGCACTACCTCAGAGGGGCTAAGGAGAAACTGCAAAGCTTCTGGCCTTGGAAACCCCCTTCAGTAATTATTAATTTATTCAAGTCATAATGCCAAATCACACAGAATCATAGAATCACAGAATCATAGAATGGTTTGGGTTGGGAGGGACCTTAAAAATTGTTTGAAACCTTTGCAATGGGCAGGGACTCCTTCTACTCAAACAAGTTGTTTCAAGTGCCATCTAGTCTCACCTTGAATGCTTCCATGAATGGGGCATCCACAACATCTCCGAGCAAACCAGTCCCAGCGTCTCAGCGCCCTCATAGTAAAGGATTTCTTCCTAATATCTAATCCAAACCTAATATTTTTTATTTAAAAGCCATTCCTCCTTGTCCTGTCACTACAAGCCCTTGTAAAAAGTCCCTTCGCAATTCTCCTGTAGCCCTCTTTAGGTACTATAAGGCTGCTATAAGATCTGCCAAGAGCCCTTTTCCCCCCATGATGAACAGCCTGTCTTTCTAGGAGGGAGGGGAGCTCCTGCCCTCAGATCATCCTCATGGCCCTCCCCTGGTCTCACACCACCAGGCTCATCATTCTTGTGCTGGATGAATTTCCTCATGTGGGGTCCCACCAAACTGGAACAGAGGGGGAGAATCACCTGCCTCAACCTGCTGGCCCCACTGCATTTGGGGCTGTGAGTGCTCATTGCTGGGTCATGTTGAGCTTCTCGTCCACCAATGGCCCCAAGTCCTTCCCAGGGCTCCTCCTGAGCCATTCCCCACCCAGCCTGAGTTTGTGCTTAGGGCTGCTCTGTGTGTGAGCTGCTGCTGGCAAACGTTTGACCTTAAGAATGTGAGTTTGCAGAAAGAGGATGCTGGAGGACAGGTGAGCTATGATCAAAGGCTCTATGGACACAGGGCAACAAAGATGGGAGGCTTTGAAACACCATGTGGGGTCGGGCTGAACTACACCCTGTTAGAGTAAATCCCACCCCTGACATGTACCTGGCTGGCCCAGTTCTTAACTGGGGACCAAGAGGGAGTTGTGAGGTACCTCTGCAGATGCTTTACAGGATTCCTGGGGTCCCCAAGTCCAGAGGAACTGTCACCAAAAGAATCTACTCTGATTTGGATTTATCAGAATAATTTGTATTTTAAAATAGACATTTAATCTTTTTCTTCCAAAGCCTTGCAGATTTATAAATCTAATCAAAAAAAGACATTATAAAGTTTCAGATAAATTAATTCTATTCTCCTTATTCTCACAGCACCCTAAATAACAGATTAGTTTTTTGCCTCCCATTTAGCATCAAATACAAAATAAAGAAATAGAGACTCATATCATAGCCAAATGTATCTTCAATTTTGCAAGAAGACTTCTTTGGGATATTAGGAAGGGATGCCCAAATTCAACCTTAAAATGCAAAGCAGAGTTAATATATCACATCCTGATGGTTGTTTCACACAACTCACTGGTCAAGTTTGTTAATCTCTGCAGGTACTAATTACTGTTTGCCTAAGTTAATCAGCATATTTATTAAATAGCATTAAATTCTAATCATGTTCTTACAATGTTACAGCAAATACACTGGGATCATGAGGACATTTCTAGTACTGTTTAGGGAAATAAAGTTAACTCTCCAATCCCACCCATTCATGTGAATTTTGCATGTTACCTGTTTGAGCTCCACTCTCACTAGTGGCAAGAGGCAGCACATGGTAGTGTTGCATGTCATCTCATCAAACTCAGACTCACACTGCTGTCTGTCCCAAACTGCATGCAAAATGAACTTACTTTGGGCCTCGGGTCACTTGTGTGGGGCAATCGATCCATACTGCTGGGGGGCTGTTTCTTCAGTTCAACTGGCTCTGCTGAAAACAATTCCCTTGGAGTGTACCACCAAACCAGCTGGCCCTCAGGGCTGGTGGCGCTACACACTCTTGGGCTTGTTGAAAACCAGTATTTGGGAAAAGTCTTCAGTTGAAGGGGAGAAGAAATTTGTAAGGAATCCATGGTTTTATACAAGGCTTACCCAATGAAGTTCAAGATGTCAGATATTCTTGTAGAAGGTGGGCTGTCCTTCATCCCCTAGAGGCTGTGTTTCCTCAAATGGAATACCCAGCCACCACTGTGGATGTTGCCACCAATCTCAAGAGATCTCTGTTCGGCACCAGAAGAATCAATGGTGCTTTGCTGTCCAGGCCAAAGGGTTTTCCTTGATTTCCAAGATTCCTTGAGAGGCAGAGGAATCTTTCTTGCAATACCATTAGCATCAGAATTCCCTAAAGGGTCTGTCCCTCCAAAGGCCTGGAGACTAGAGATTGAAGGATACAGAATGACTGTTTGGGTAGCCAGAATTAGAAGAGAAAATCAGTTCTAAAGAGAAGCAAACTCACATTACCTGCCTGGAGGAAGAAAAGTTAAGACTTTTTAAAAAGAAGAAGAAAAGTTAAGACTGCCACATGACTTCTGGTGACATAACCAGTTACAGAGTTAACACAGTAATATAATAAGTAAACAGTCTTGCTTAATATTGTCTTGGATGGAAGGTCTGCACATATTTTAGTGCTGATAAAGCCCACTCAGTCTTTATTCAGGAAAGATAACATTATTATTATTATTATTATTATTATTATTATTATTATTATTATTATTATTATTATTATTTTCTAAGTCAGCCCCAAAACAAGTTCTAAAAGTGTCTCCTGGTTTGAGGGTGTCCAGTATACATCTCCTTGAGTTTCACTGCTGCTGTGTGCTGGTCTTCTCTTGATGGTGGCACTTCTGAATAGTGAAGCTGGATGGCTCCAGCCTGCAGCACCCTCTCGAAGTCAGTGCCTGCTTTTGTCTATAGTCACACATCCCCCTCAGGTGATAAAGGTGAAAGGCCACCTCTCTCAAGATTTCACTGTCACAGTTTTCTCCCAGCAGTCTCAGAAGGCACTGTCTCCTGAGCTGGCTGTGAGGGACCTTCCCCTCTGAAGTCATTTCTACACCTTGTTCCCCTTTTGCACACTTTCTTGCACTCCTCCCATGAAGGAGTGGACCTCACAGTCTGCATGTATAACCTGCTGGAGGGAAGGCAGGCAGAGCTGACAAGGAGTCAAGGAACGATAGGGAGTTGAAGCAGGAGAGTAATATGATATGCTGAGGGAACAGCAGCTTCCTCCTTATCAGCACAGCTGAATGTGGGGCAAGCACTGTGGGCTGTGTGCTAGAGCAGAGCTGCACCACCGCAGCAGGCTGCCTTGCCACCTCACGGCTGCCTCCATCCAGCCCTCATGAGGATCTGGAACCACGCAAGATCTGTTAATTTCACACAAAACCCAGAGCTGCATCCCTTCACACATTCCTCCACAAGCTGTGGAGACAGGAGATACAATCCACAGAAGAAAGACGGGGTGCGGGTTTCCCATTGTTGTGCAGTCACCGCAGGTGGTATCAGGCCCCGTCCGCCTTCTTCTGTTGTTACTGGGAACATCAAGACTTGCCCAGCCTTCTTCTCCCAGGTGTTAGTGACACTCATGCTGAGGCCTTTGGAAGCACCCACTTCTTTGTTTGTTCTGCCCTTTTGCAGTAGAGCAGCAGCCAGCCAGCTGCCTGAGAGACAGGCTCGCTCAGGAACAGAGAGCTTCTTGTGTCCTCCAGGGACTCTCGGGCTTTGGTGGAACTCATATAACCCATTGCAACTGTCAGGGCAAGGGGGCCATGACTCCAAAAAGGTTTCCAGCACTGCAGTCAATGTCCTTTGGCCATAGATAGTCAGAAATCAGAAACCAGCATGCCCTGGAACCAGGGACAAGTACATTTCCTTGGAACCACGTTGAGCATTGCCTGTAACAAAAGCCAGGAATATATGATCAGCTGAGTACCGTGAGATAGCTGGTTTTCAATTTCGAGCTCTGGTGACATTTCCCACTTAAAAGTTAAAGTAAATGGTTACAAGTTGAATAAATATTTCTTCTTTCAATACCGACACCCCCTCGAGCTGCTTTAGCGTGTGAGATCCGCCAAGAGGTTTGGCTGCCTCATCCAACAGGAGCCCAGG